ATACAGTTTGATCAAGATCATGGCGCAGTTTGATGGTGAAGTGGATGCTGGATATATTGCTTTCAAAGAAGTCATCTTGGCTCAGCATGAGAACCTGGAAAACATGATCGCAAGGGCACCACCAGCACTTCATGCATCACTAGGAGTCAAATTCAACATGCCAACGACAACACACTCTCAAGGTTCAACAATCCGTCCACGCATGGACAATCTCTTTCAAGCACTCCACGTACTAACCAAACCCATGCTTCCAATGTCATTGTAAGAATTGATGGTGAAATGATAATTGGCATACCCCAAGGAGGAGAGTCATCCCAAGGGAGGGATGCATCCATCCAAGAAAAGGGCAGCTCCAATCCCGCACCTCAATCAACCATGCGAAGGGACGCACGGGGGAGGAATGATGAGTATGGGAGTGAAATGCATGCAATAAAGCATGGCAGAATGAGAAGTGGACAGATTGGGCAACAGAGTGACAGAATTGATCAAGTGGGCGTGGAAGGTGTCAAAATTGCCTCCTACACTATTGGTGCTCCCCGACTACGACGACTTGCGACTAAGTTCCATCCCATTGGAGTTCCTCCCATGCCCAGGTCTCACCTTCATGGCGGCAATATCATACCTCCGCGTCCACCAATTGTTGTGGACAACATGGGGCGGATGGACACGGAATGCAGTCAAGTGGTGTCATGCGCAGAAATCAAGTGGAGGTGCTGGAACGTCAACTTGGTTTTTTATGGAGACACGCAACGCACGGTACAGCTACCTCGACCATCAATCGTGTCCACTCTCTTCAACCTCGCTCGACGACGAGAATACACGAAAGAAGACAAGGAATGACTGTCACGCAAAATGGTGGGAGCAATGGTGGACAAGGCGTTCACCACGAATTCGTTTGACGGCTCCAACTTCCGCAAATGGGCACTACGGTTGCGAATGAAAGCACGCGTGACAAATTTGTGGGATTTCTTTGTGACCCATGGAGTACCCGATTATCATGGAGAATGGTATTATTGACGACGCTATGGAGCAGTTGAAAATGCTACAAGCGGATTACTTACAACGTGCAACACCCGCCTTTTGGGTCTTAATGCACAGCGTGAGCGCCACGATTCAGCTGCAGCTGGACATGTTCTAGGAATCCTACAGCTCGGCATTTGAAGCATGAGAGTAGTGAATGGATACATACTAGGCCAAGGTTTCGGTGTCAGAACTGTCACTTCTGAAGCAGTTAGACAATATAAAGATGGAGTACCAGGAAATGGTGTCAAAACGAAACTCACTCCACTTCAACTTTCCAAAGTATCACACAGAGTCTTGAGTCTTGAAGTTGGACCCAACTAGAAAGGGGGGGTCACTATTTTAGGTAGAGGCTTTTATTTTTTTGCGAATGTATGAGATAAGACATATATGTATACTATCCATGTGATTACGCTATGATAAGAAGTGGTAAAATGCTCATATTATATATGTACCATATTCCCCTGCATCTAACAGTACATTCGGGACAAGACGCGTCACAAAAATTCACGCCACAATCGGTCGTACCGCTTGTCAGAATCCCAACCACTAGACCATTGGGATAAAAGGGCTTGTTTGTGTAGCGGGTAAGTGCGCCCATAACCCCCCAGGCCAACGTGCCTGTAACCCTTCCCTAGGATCAACCGGGGATCACCAGTGGACCTCTGACACCCCCCCTGCACTGGGATGCCCGAAGTGCACACACCAGGATTCGAACCCGAGACCTTCGCTCTGATACCATGTCAGAATCCCAACCACTAGACCATTGGGATAAAAGGGCTTGTTAAGTAGCGGGTCAGTGCGCCCATAACCCCCCAGGACAACGAGCTTGTAACCCTTCCCTAGGATCAATCGGGGATCACCAGTGGACCTCTGACACCCCCCCGCACTGGGATGCCCGAAGTGCATACACCGGGATTCGAACCCGAGACCTTCGCTCTGATACCATGTCAGAATCCCAACCACTAGACCATTGGGATAAAAGGGCTTGTTTGTGTAGCGGGTAAGTGCGCCCATAACCCCCCAGGCCAACGTGCCTGTAACCCTTCCCTAGGATCAACCGGGGATCACCAGTGGACCTCTGACACCGCTCTGCACCAAACTACACCTAAGTTCGAAACTTTTCGATAATGCTTGATACTTGGGTGTTATTCGGTATAATTTGGTGCAGAGTGGTACAACCGATTGTGACACGAACTATTGTGGCGCATCTTGTCCGGAACGTACCCTACGACCCGCCAGTAAGAAAGTCCCACTGGACCCTATCATGGCAGAGGGTCCTCTATAACGAAGTTAAAAGTTATAAGACCACCCCCCCCCCCCCCCTCTTTTTTTTTTTTTTTTTCTTTTCTTTTCTTACTTCTGCATTGCCAAACATACAATATTTTTTCCTAAACATCATAGGGACCTACTATCTTCACATACACATGTCAATTCTAGCACAAGGAGAAACACAGTCCTCAAACAATCACTTGTGAATCTTCCTACAATTAGGGGCCAACTAATCATTAGTCACCGTCGGACATGTCATTGTTCTTGCCCATCTCATCCTCTGACTCGGCCGACATATCACCGTTGTTGTTGTCATCATGCTGTGCTGCAGCCTCTGCATCCTGCTTGCCATTAGTGTAGAGGAAGATTCACCCACTCCTCCACCTCTAGAGCAGCGTGGGCGTCCTCACCCACCTCCACTTGGCCTACATCCCGCATGTGGGCCAGAACGAGGTGGCATCGTTGGCGTTGCTGATGCCAGAAGTCCTGAACAACTTGGTGATGATGTGCTCGAGGACCCCGGTCCATGCCTTCGCGATCCACTTGAGGACCATTTCAGCGGGCGGCTTCTTCAGGTTTCTTGGGAGGTAATGAGCAAGAGGAAGGGATTTGAACAGGGGGTCCAGCATCACAAACAAACAGGAAAGACAGCAAGGTGCATAGAAAAAAAATGATGGGGACGAAAGCAACATCATGTTCTTACCTGCAGAGGGTCAAGCAGTTGACGCCTTACTGCGCTAACCAGTTGTTGTTGAACTGGCGCAATCCCGCTTTCAGTGTGCGGTTAATGCTCACATCGAGCGGTTGCAGCAGCAACCGTCGGGGATGATTGCCGGCACGATGTTGTGCCAGTGGAGATTCCCCAGCATGCCATCCGTTAGATGGCCGTGGTAGGAGTCCAAGACCAGAGGGTCTTGGACTTGATGATGCGAGGCTTCGGCTCGACGAACGGGAGAAGGACATGATTCACCTAGTCGGCCACGAGAGTTGTGTCCATCCAGCCGTGCTCCTACGCGCGTATGAGGATATCTACACGCAGGAGGCCGAATTCGTGTTAGTTTGAGTGGTTCAGGTGCACGACATTAAATGACCTTGTGAAATTCACTTATGGGCGGGATGTCAATCTTCCGGATGGTCTTGCGCTTGAAAACTACCATCGCTAGCAACTTCTCTCCGATCGCCGTTACACCGAGCACCTTTTCATACCCGGCACTGCGAACATGCACGGAACGTTCGCCACGGTGCGGTCGGACGGCATCTCGAGAAAAACGGGCGTTTGGTCCGCGTTAGTCATGTTTCACGGATCGATCCTGTGCTTGATCACGTTCTTTCTCACAAACGTCAACAAACTTATGCACTTTGATTTGCACTCTGCACACAAAAGCAAGAGCCAGTTAGATAGAGCTACGGTTGCGTGAAACATCAACATCACATACGTAGATGTAGCTTACCTTTTGCGAGTCGTTGCCCCAACTTCGTCTTGAAGCGTACGGAGAGCCCCCACCAAGCGCGGAATCGGAAATTGCAGCGCAAGAATGCTCTCCAGTCCACATCAGGACGACTCTTCGCCATCGAATTCCTGCTCCACTGCTGGAGAAGCGCTCGGAAGGCGAGCAACTTGCGGTGTGCCACCTTCTCCATGTCCGGGTACTTGTCCTTACGGCCTCCCTTACCGAGACGCCTCCTGCATCCAGGAGCCCTCCTGATCTCCTCGACAGCTTTCATACAACGGCGCACACACACCGGCTAAACACCGGCGAGTCGAGCTACGTGGTGGACAGAAATATTTTCCTTTTCCATCCGCTCCAGCCAGCCAACCTTCTCCGCCATGGTATGCGCCACTCGACGATGCTGCGTAGGTTTGTTGCAGGGCTCGGGAGGGAGGGAATCACGTGTGGAGTCGTCGTGCAGAATATCGCCAGGAAAGGACGGGACGGGGAAGTCCGCAATGGGACCATCGACATCGTCCAAAATTTCCACGTTCACTTCTTCATCGTTGGGAACATGGGACTCCTCACCGCAGAGGGGCTCGTACTCTTCGGGGAACCCAACAAAGACAAGTGGTGCTGCCAGGGGTGCAGGAGGAGCAGGCGGTGCAGGTGGAGAAGGTGGGCTGGCGATGAAATCAGTATACCTTGCGAAGCAACTGGAGAATGGTTAACGCTACCGCGGCGTGAACGCCACGGGCTCTCAAAGGCAGACATCTTGGTGAAGCTATGGTAAGTGCCTATGCGGCTTCATCGTGAAAGGAGCCATGGCGGACGCACTGTTTTTTTACCCTTTAATTCATATCTGAGTGCTTGAAAGAACGGAATGGCGAGAGAGTAGCAATGCTCGGTAGAGTGATGGACGTGAGACCTTAGGCACCCCACGTCCGCATCACCTCGCAAAGGTGAGGCAAGGGGTCCAAAAGCGGAGGGATTAGGTGGATATGTTGGCACTCAAGATGCCCTGCAACTCGATACCGTCATCGCCCGGATAGTAGACAGTGTTGAATAGTAGACAGGGGTTGTCTATTATCCGGATGTCTCTTATAAACAGACTAGCCTCGTTATAAGACACCTATTTGTGTGTACGAGATAAGACATATATGTCTTATAACCAGACCAGGGGTTTAGGGGTTTTCTTATAAACAAGGGGTGTCTTCTAAACGATCACTAGTTCCTCTAGGGGTTACATGCACGTACATCTAGAATATTTACTTCTACCTAGCCCTCCTCAGTCACGGCCTCCTCCCCTGCACTAACTGCAGGGTCAACACCCAAGTCTGGCACTCGCCAGGCATGCCTGGCCGTTTCCCTAGGCTCGATCATGCGGTCAGCCTCAGCCGCTGCTCCGCGGTAGTTGGGGGTCTCCTGGTACAGCACCTCCAGGCCGGTTGCCACTGCCACCTCCCTCACACCCTCCGCCTGCATCTCCTCCTCCTCCTCCTCTGGCGCCTGCCCAAGCAGGCGCGTGTTGTCGCCCGTGGTTCCCCCGAGGCTCATGTTCTCGGAGACATTGACAGTGCTCCTGGCGCGCAGGTGAGACATCACCAGGTGGTTCTCCGTCCCGTCCAGCTTGCTTGAAATCCCATAGTGGCGGAACACGTCAATGATGACCTGCTTGGGGACTTGATCCCACGCCTCCGCGATCCACTGCAGCACCACGGGGAGCGGAGGCCTCCGCAGGTTCCCTGCGTGTGGGTCAGAGGCATGGGTAGCGAGCCGTTAGAGACATGGAAAGAAAACAGAGCAAAAGTTGAATTCACATGGCTACTCACCCTTCTTCGTCTTTAGATGAATCCCTTCACGCATTAACCACCTGGCATAGCGCGCTCGCACACCAGCCTTGAAGCACCGGTTGATGCTGACGTCAAGGGGTTGAATCTGGCTCGTGCAACCAGCTGGGATCACTGCAGGGGTGATGCTGTGCGTGCGGTAAGATTGGAGCATGGTCTGGGTGATGTGGCCACGGTAAGAGTCCAACACCAGCATCGCACGCCTCACGTTCTCGCCGCGCTGGGAGTTCAGATGGGGCAGCACCTCCTTGGTCAGCCAAGTCTGCACAGCGCTCTCGTCCATCCACCCGTTGTCCTGTGCTTGGCATACGATTCCTGCCAGGCATATAGGGGATATACGGGTGTCAGTCGAGGAGGGCAGGCTCACCAGGCTTACGGTCCCGAATTCCTTGAGCTTACCTTCCGGAATCTCACAGCTGGGCACGTTCTTGAGCTTGAACCAAACCCAAGGGCGCAGCTTCTCCCCGGATGTGGTGCACGCGAGCATCACCGTGAGCCGCGTCTTCTCATATCCTGCAGTGTGGATTGGGACCGAGCGCGCACCACGGCGCTCGATCGTCCTCTCGGCCGGCATCTCAACGAAGAGCGGCGTCTGGTCCGCGTTGATGATGCGGGCCCGGTTGATGTTGTGCCGCGCCCGATTGATGCGCACGAACTTCCAGAACGACTCGCAGTCCTTAGCGCACTCTGCAAAGGGAACACACGCCATGGCGGGACGGGATGGCTAGAAATAAAGGGCAAGGAACATGCAGTCATGCAAGGGGCAAGGAATTCAAGGCATTTAACACTCACCAGCCGATAACCGTTGGCCGACCTTGGTCTTCACACGCATAACCAGGTTCCAGCGGTCACGGAAACGCTGGCTCCAGTGAGAGCTCGCGTTCCGGTTCTTGCCGGGGTGGTGTTTATTCATCCACTCGCGGCTCCACTTCTGGGTGTCCTTCACCGAGATGGCCACCCCATTAGCGCGCTGCAGGCAGACGTAGCGGTACAACGCCGCCTCCATGTGGTAGTGTGCGTGGCGCCCCCCCCCCCGTGCATCCGCTTGCGGCAGTTAGCCGCTCCTTTGTAGACTCCTGCAGCAGCCTCCGCCCTCCAGCGTCTGATGCAAGCGATAGATGCGGTAGACTCCAGCGAGGTCTTCTTCAATGAGCCGAGCTCCTGGTAGTGGCGCGCCCACTTGAGCTTCTCGCGTACGGTCCATCCGTGGCGCCTCTTCTTACTGTCCTTGCTGCAAGGGGAAGGTGGACGGGAGTTGGGATTATGGAGGGTGGCTTCCTTCGGCTTCGCCTTCTCAGGGAATGAAGGAATCGGGGCTGCCGCCTCCGCGTAGTCATCGTCGCTGCGGAGCGCCTCGTTGACCAGGATGTCGTCCTTGTTTGACCCCTTCTTCTTTTTCTTAGCAGCACCCGTGCTGGATCCGGGGTCGCCGTCGTTCTTCCGCTTCTTGGTGCTTGGGCGGCGACGAATGGTGGCCTTAGCAGGGGCATCCACGACCTTGGTTTTCCCCTTTTCTGCAGTAGAGATGCGCGGTTGAAGCTCCTCCCCCGGACTGTCGTCATCAGAGAGCACCACGCGGGCACGCCTCGGCTTGGTCTGTAAGCGATGACGCATCCTCCGTTTCAGAAGCGGAACATCGTCGTCACCCGCGATGCTCCACGGGTCGTCATCGGCACCTCCCTCCGCAGCATCCACATCCGCAATTGCGACCACATCCGCGGGCGCAACAGCATCGGGTGCCGCTTCCGCCTCCGCCTCGTCGTCAGCCTCCACATCTGCCTCCACCGTCGTCGTCCTCGCTTCCGCATCCGCGTCGTCGTCAGCCTCCGCACCGTCATCGCCCGTCGCTCCCGTTGCATGCGCAGCTGCCTCCACGTGCTCGCCATCAGCATCGACACCCTCGTCGTTGTCCGAATCACCAACCCGCCACTCTTCCACTTCGTCGTCGCTCCTAACCGGCCGATTCCACCATTCGTCCTCATCGATGTCGGCAGGGGCTTCTTCATCCCCCGGAGCGCTAACGTCGTGGCCGTTCTCTGGCCAATCCTCGTCGTCGTCGTCGTCGTGTTCTCCGTCGCCGTCGTCGCCGCCATGTCCTTCGTCGCCGCCGCGTCCTTCGTCGCCATCGTCCCCGTCACAGCTCGCATGGGAGGCGGCGGTAGATCTTTCCGCCTTGCGCGTATTCTTCGCCATGGCTACACGGATGTCATCACCGGGCGAGTTAATTCGCCCGTAGTTATTCACCTGCACATGAGGGCGAGGTGAGGACGTGCCTGCGGGAACTTTGTTGCGCATGGTTACGGTAAGCCTGCCGAGAGCAAAGGTTGAGTTGAGATCTCAACCTCCTTGAGCACCAAATGAAGCTCACGCCCGACTACCCCCCCTAGCCACAGTGCCCCTTCCAAAGGTGCCGAGCCGCTCCTCTACGAGGAATCTCCTCGTAGGGGACAGCCCTCATGCTGCCATCGTGCTGCCAGCTGCGTTTTGGAAGCATCCAAGCGCTGCTGGCAGCAAAACGACACTGGCAGCATCATTAGATGCTGCCAGCACGGAGGGATGTTGCCAGCAGTGGCAGCTTTGCTGCATCCCTCACGTGGCAAGTGGGGGCGCTGCATGCATCACCACCGAGGTCGCCCTAATTCAAAGGTATAATGGTACAGAGGTGGTTTCTACACACTTTGCAAGTGTTACAGAGTTCTTATATTTTTTTCCATTTATAAGACTTATAAGACACCCTAAACTATCCCAAATACGAGATAACCCAAGCATTTTGAGTAGTGTACGAGATAAGACATATATGTCTACTATCCGGGCGATGACGGTAACATTGCCGAGCCTCTCTCTAACGTGCCTCAAACGTGAACGCGTGGCAATATCTCGTTCCTAAACAGAATTTTGTGTTTCGATATGCGCAAAATAAAATACCCCCCTCCTCCCCTTCGTAAGCCATAAACTACAGAAAACGGCTTCAATACGGTTTCAAGGAAGTCCCCCGGGTCCTATATGTGGGGGGGGGGGTACGATACATATTTATAAATACATATACATACATATTTAGGGAACTTTGCACCCATTCACTGTGGCCATTTCACTAGTCACCTTATCACACCTTATCTTGGTATACTGGTATTGCCTAAATGGTTGCTTATATAAAGGATGACTCTTGTTGGTTGCTTCAAGTGGACAGAGTGCCAGGTGCTGAGGCTCCACTGCACCATCCTCGCAGATCCAGAGGTGCAGCATAAGAACATCACACTCCACTCCATATGCGTCCTAAAGTGTATGTCTCCAATGGGACCTCTGGGTCGCAGGTATCCAGGTCATGGACAGCGTTTAGGCGATACGAGAAAAACGCTGCCGTGTGAGAGAATCCATCCAGACATGGATAAAACAAGAATGTCAGAAGCTGCCAAAAGGAGCCACTCTGTGATAGCGCCAGTATATACCGATGCTTGTTTAGTGGGAGTAGCTTTTGCTGAAGAGGGTGGTGAGGATGGATCAGCAGCATCGAGCATGAGGTTGTTGACATGCATTGGGACAATATCTGATACCACCACCTGTGACAAATATGAGAGTGAAATTTGCGAAACTTAAGGGAATAGTGTAGTGAATGCCACCTACACAAATGGCACAATATGGAAGAGTGTGTGAGACCACAATGTGTGACATTGCCAGGGTTTAGGGCTTAAGGCTCAGGGAGGGGATGATCATAATGATGAAGAACCAAAGCGTAAGAGACGTGCTGAGGGAACCAGGAACAGTGTACAAGAAATGTTATGTGCCTGTGAAGCGTGGGAAAAGGAAGGTTGAAGGTTGGATGTAGAGTGTGTGTAGTGTGTGTGTGCGTGCATGCGTGCATGCGTGCGTGGGTGTGTGTGTGGAGGGGTGGGGGGTGGGGGTGTGGGGGAGAGGGAGGGGGTGGGGGTGCATATGATGCTTCATCGCCTTGTTCTTCTTTTTCCAATTTTGGTTCTGCAATTTCTTCTTTCGTAGCTATCTCCCAAATCTTCATAAACCTCCACCCAAGCCTACCTACTCGCCACCCCCCTGCCACGCGTTGAGCAATTGCTGTTGTTAAGGAATTTTTCTCAGGCAACCCGCTCGCCCCCTTCTTACCTGCACTACCTCCCCTTGCAGAGTAGATATATGCTGGTCTCCGCCCTGCCCTTCCCCCCAGTTTCATTTCCCTGTCCCCATGCTTCCCCCCCCCATTCCACAGACAGACTCCTTTACCATTATGGAGAGAAAACAAATACCTTGTCAGGGTATATGAGTTTTAGTATTGCCTTCAAATCCTGAGAGTTGCTGATGATAAGCCATTTAACAATGGTGGGAGGGGGCACCCACCATGCCTCGAGCCTCTGTGAGGAACCGGAAGCTCGGAAATAAGAGGCACGAAAGTTACTGGAATGAACATGGGGGCACGGAATAGGATGCTCTGAATCCGAGGCACGTGAGGAACATGCATGGGAACTTGATACACGAGAGGGGGGAAACGAATGAAGAAAAAGGGGGGAAGAACGCAGCCGACAACATAGAAAGGGAAAGGGCGGATTTTGATGGCACAATCCTTACAGCGAACTTGGCCAGTACCAACAACCCCCATATCGTATTCACCTGGGCACAAGCAACATAGCCCATAGCCCACTTGATGAGTTCAGTTCTCTCTGTCTCACTCAGAACCTTGGGATCTCCGAACCCACTCTCGCCCTGCCACACGAACGAATCAGGTGCTCTCATGTGCATGCCCACCACCACCACCCTATCGCTTGAGGAGTGATGGGAGGCCCCTGATTGTCCAGCACTCAGGTGATGAGGGGTTTGGGCTTGGAGGAGGGCCGAAGGGGGGGAGGAGGAAGCGAGAGGGGAGAAGAGGTGGCGGTACATAGCTTCGGTTCTTGACAGGATGTCTGGGAGGGGCCTGGTGGGGGTTGTCAAAGGGGGGAGGTGGGGAGGAGGGGGGGGACAGGGGTTGTGTGTGGAGGGGTAACGGAGAGGGTTTCTAGTCCACTGGAATCGTCACACACAGTTGACGTAGCTTGGATTGGAGAGTTGATGTGACATCTGATTGCAGCCTAAGGGGTGTTTGTCGAGAAGCAGGAGGCCCCAGGGCAAAGCAAAGCGAGCCGGGAAGGGGATAGGCTTGCAAGGGCAGGGGAATGAGTAGCTGTCTCGAAACCATGAAGCTCTGGGGCAAAGGTGCACATGGTTTCACATGACTTAGAGATGTGATATGTGCGCCAATGGGAGCGTACTTGAGAAGAAAGCGGCGGAGGCAGCCTTTTGAGGTGCTCTCGAAGGTGTTATCCATGGGGGCCTACTGGAGGAGAGAGGGAAGAAAGCAGCCTTTTGAGGCGCTCCAAAAGGTGTTTCCCATGGTTACATACTTGAGAAGAAAGTGGAGGATGCAGCCGAAGCTGTAGGGAGGCCGCATGCCCACGTCCTTGAGCCTCTCACTCCACTTCTTACCCTCCTCCTGAACCCAGCCAAGTGATATGGATAGCACATGGGCATGAAAAAGAGGGAGGAAAGGGCGGAGAGAGAATGTGCTATTTTAAGCCCTACCAGTCGAGCTATTTTGCATAAATTTGAGCACACCACCGCATTTAGTTTCCCATGCCCTCTCCATTTGTAACTCTCTCCACTTATTCCTCTCAGAACGGTCCTTTGTTTTGTATTAATGCTTATTCCTCTCCTGATCTCATCACTTCTCCTCTTCTCCCTTCCTCTCCCCTTCTTCCTCCCTTCCCCCTTCCCTTTTTCGTCCCGTTCCTCTCGCTTGTCGTCCCCTTTCTCACCCCACTTCTCCCCTAGTCCTCCCACTCCTTCTCCCCTCCTTCTCCCCCATTCCTCCATTTCTCATCCCCTTTCTCTCCCTTCCATTCCTTTCCCTTGCCCTCAATCAATTCTCCACTTCTCCCCTTTCTTCCACAAAAACACTACCCACCTGCACAAGACGCGCTGTGAGCACCCCAACCTCAGCCTCAGCCTCCCAACCCCTCCTGCTGCTTCACCTGCACATGTTGCTTACCTGTACGATCCAGCATGTGCGAAGGCCGGCCTTCCCATGTGAGATGACGCAAGAGTTCCTTCCTGTTTCTACAAAACCACTTCACCCACCTCCGCAAGCCAGTACGTAAGCAGTCCTCTGTTCCACGACAGGCGCACGTTCATTGCCTTATCCAGCTGTGCGAATATGTCCTCCGGCTCCACAAACCGCTGATTCTTCAAGTCCACCTCCACCACCTCCCCATCCTGTACTACCTCCTCTGCCTCTTCTCGCCCTCCCCCCCCTCCTCCTCCTTCTCCTCGTCCTCCTCCTTCTCCTCCCTCTTCCCCTTCTCTTCTTCGTTCCCCCCCTTCTCCTCCTCCTCCTTCAGGCCCCCCTCCCTCGCCCCATCCCATCACATCATCAATATTCATCACGCGAGCCGGCTCCACAGGAACCTCCAATGAGAAGGACCAATCAATGAGGTTCGGCTCGAATGCAAGCGGCAGGAGAGCGTGCCGTACAATGAACGCCCGCTGAGTGAGCATGGCACATGCAAAGCTGGTGGCCAGCCCTGTGAGATAGTCTCCTAGCCCGCCTGGTTCATCCAGCCATTCGTATGTGAGAAAGCGAATGGATGGGTCCCTAGGCGGCTGGGGGTATTCGGCTGGGGGTGGAGGGGATGGTGGGGGCGGAGGTGGATGAGGGGGGGATGGTGGAGGAGGGGACGGGGGAGGGGGAGATGGAGGAGTAGGAGATAGCGGACGAGGTGAGGAAAGTAGGGGTGACGGTGGTGGTGGTGATGGAGGTGGGGGTGATGGTGGTGGTGGTGAAGGTGGTGGCAGCGGTGGCATGGGTGGTGTTTTCGCTGCGGCAGCAGCAGTCTGAGCCAGGGTGCTGGCGTGGGCGCGGGCCGCTTGGCGAATGCGGGAGTGCAGGGCGGAATAGTCAGCCGCCCAGGTGCCACATTGCGCCTCGGAGAATGTGAAATCCAAGAACGGCCTGGGAGGGGACGCTAATGCGAGCAACGGGGAGAGGAGCTGCTGTCAGGGATGAAACAGAAGCAGGGGGGACGGGGTGAAATGGGAGAAGGAAAAGGGGTAGAATGGAATGTTTTAGTTGGGGGTTTGCTAATGAATGCGTGGAAGTGAATATGGCTGGGTGGGAGTGACCATGGCTGGGTGGGAGTGAGCATGGGTGGGTGGGAGTGACCATGGCTGGGTGGGAGTGAGCATGGGTGGGTGGAAGTGACCATGGCTGGGTGGGAGTGAGCATGGATGGGTGGGAGTGAGCATGGGTGGGTGGAAGTGACCATGGCTGGGTGGGAGTGAGCATGGGTGGGTGGGAGTGAGCATGGGTGGGTGGAAGTGACCATGGCTGGGTGGGAGTGAGCATGGGTGGGTGGGAGTGAGCATGGGTGGGTGGGAGTGAGCATGGGTGGGTGGGAGTGAGCATGGGTGGGTGGGAGTGAGCATGGGTGGGTGGGAGTGAGCATGGGTGGGTGGGAGTGAGCATGGGTGGGTGGGAGTGAGCATGGGTGGGTGGGAGTGAGCATGGGTGGGTGGGAGTGAGCATGGGTGGGTGGGAGTGAGCATGGGTGGGTGGGAGTGAGCATGGGTGGGTGGGAGTGAGCATGGGTGGGTGGGAGTGAGCACGACGAGGTGGCCAGGCCGCTTGCTGATGGGCCATTTGGGCTTGCGGATCGGCTTGAATAGATTCAACGAATTTAACCACTGGTTCAGCAAAATCGTCTCACTGGCAGTGAGGCCGTGAAGCATCGGATTCAGATGAATCTTGGAGACAAAATTCCACAGTGTGCTGTGTAAGGAGGGGGGGTGAAACGACCTGCGTGGATTCGGTGAGAGAGATTATGGGTGGGTGACTCATGAGAGGATAAAAAGGTAAGGTGGCTTACCAATCTAAGGACGAGGCTCAACATTTGGAGGACAGATCTTCACCACCAACATACCTGTTGCTTCGCACAACTTTACATCAGTGGTGCCAATTGCAAGTCCGTTGCCTCTCTTGATTCTTTCGTTTTTTTTTTTGAACGACTAATCTTGGGCGGATCCCATGATAAATTTGCCTAAAAAAACACTCTGCGGGTAACAAAGCCCAGGATTCTCAAGGGGCACTTTCGGATTAATGCCTCGATACTCAATCACCTGAAAACTCTAAAAAATGAAAAAGCAAATTTTCAGTTTTTTTTTTTTTTTGAAAGCTTCATCATAAAGCTTTCCGAAAGAGAAACGGGAACAACTACATCTCAAAATCTATCTGAGAGAAGCTTGAACGGAAAATCACCTCGAAAGGCTGCACTCACGAGTAAGAAGGCGACGGCGAGCACGCGGCTATTACGGAGGACCACATGGCTACCTCGCCTTAACGTCATTGGGACGTCGCCTTGGTCGCACGCCGCCGCAACGTGGTTGTCTTAGATACTAGGAATGAAGTTCACTAATTTCTTTGTCCCCCCTTCAATGTTTTGAACGAATAGTACAGAATTCAGCATATGCGACGATGACTGTTGTGCTCTATCCCCCCAAGCCAGCCAGCGCTCGATGTGTGAGCTTGCTTGCCAAAGCTAGCCAAAACAACTGACCAATACAGTAGTTGTGGTGGGTGGCACCTTTGCCTACGATTTGTGCGACTCAGTCGCCTGGTCTCAGCAGCCAGCAGGTCATCCAGCTCAGCATTCCAACAAATCCCCGCCCAAAGCAGCTGATGTCATGACTTGCTAGCCAACCAAAGCCAGCCGGCTGGCCGAGGTGTATCTGAGGTCCCAGACCCCCAGCCCGAAGGTCAGGGAAGAAACACCTGAATGGTTCGTCCCAAAGCTAATATTGCAGTCCCAGGTCTGGACACCATCAAAGCTGCCCCATCAGACTACTACGAGTCTGATGTCCTGGTGGGGATTATCCCACCGAACCTAACTTCAGCAGGCGACAGTGGTCGCCAGCATCGCCTGCATCGCGACCAATTGGGTTCTCTCATCTAAACGGTAAGACTCGCTTTGACCCAACATCCTCGCCAACAGAGTAGCCTGACATCTGGCCATTGTAAACAAACGAGGAAACAAAAACGGTGGATCTATAGCGTGTGTTATGAGTTGTACAACAGAGTTAAGAGGAAAACGGATAATATAATGAAGGCACGTGCTAATATAGTGACTACCATAGCTAGAAGGAAACCTCGGGAAAACGAGGTCGGGTGCAGGTTTGGCGAACGGAAAACCAAAGGCGACGCGGGGCAGCCTCGAAATCGTGGAGTCCGAAAGTGTTCGGGGTGTACGCGTAGCAGTCAACCCCGATAAGAAAAGGGAAATTTCCTAACACTACCACCACCACCCCTCCCCCCACCCCCTTTAAGAAATGTGGTCAATATCCGCAGCTCGCTTGCGGGCGAGGTAATCAATAACAAGCGGGTAAGCTTCAAGCGAGGTGGATTGCACTCATGTGTCGTCTTCACTGGTGCGGCAGTCCAGCGGACTAGGAAGTCCATGCGGCGGCCAGAGGCGTTGAGCCGAACACGATGCGCCAAAATTTTTGACGGGTCAAGTGTCGGTTCCGGGACAGAGCGAGCTGTCGGGGCGGCGTTTTGATGGGCAAAGTCTGTCGCTGCGGGCACGATTTTGCGAAGAAGGCTGATGTGGAAGGCGTCGTGCACACGCAAATTGTCGGGTAGGACCAGCTTCGCGGTGATAGGTGTCACCATTTTCATGATGCAAAACGGTCCACAAAATCGTGGCCGTAGCTTTGACGAGTTGGGAAGGCGAAGGTTCTTCGTGCCTAGTAGCACTAGTTGCCCAGCTGTCATGCCAATTTCCCGTCACAGCAGGTCCATATATTTACGGGCAGTATTGTTAGCCTTGCGGATGGCATCGACTGCTTTTTTGCGGGTCTCCTGGAGTTCATTAACAAAATGTTGTGACCTGGGGACCGGGTGTCAGAAGACTAAGCGAGTTTAGGAACTTAGGAGCCATGGAGCTAGGAAGGGGAATAGCGAGAGGCTTTGGCCAAACAAGAGAAAGGTTCACTATAGCATGAGATACAAGATATAGTGAAAGCATAGGAAGGGTGCACCACCAACAATAAGCAGTAAGAATACACTATGATCTAGCCACAAGCAGTTATACAACAGATATATAAAATATATCTTGACACCGGGTTGTCGAGTGTAGTCGTGGTTGGCACCACCGGGTCCATCCCGTAATTCAAGAAGAACGGGGAGTGATAAGTCGTGTTGGATGGGGCGTTTTTGTACGCGGATTCCAGCATCGCGAGTGAATTTTCCCAGCGGGCAGGGTTGGGGCAGTTCGTGCGGATGAGCTGCTCCATTGTCTGATTGGTCCGCTGTGTCTGGCCGTCGGCTTGCTGGTGGTAGGCTGACGAGGACTGTAGCTTCGTGCCATACTGCGCCCACGTGTCTTTCCAAAACTTCGAAGTGAACTTTGGGTCCCTGTCGCTGACGATCGCCGACGGTATTCCGTGTAGTCGCACAACTGTCGAGATGAAAAGGCGCACAGTCTCTTTGGCCATGATTGTCGTGCGACATGGTGCCAAATGCGCCATTTTCGCAAGTCTGTCGACGACGACGAGCACCGCGTCGTTGCCGGACGGGCCAGCTGGCAGCCCAGTGACGAAGTCCATTGTCACCTGTTGCCATGGTCGTTCTGGTGGCTCCAGGGGCTGCAGCAAATCCACCTGGCCGTTGCCGTCTCGACTTCATTGCCTGGCACACTCTGCACGAGGATACATAACGCTGCACGCCAGAGGATGAGTCCGACCAATAATACTGACTGTGCAATATTTTCTGGGTTTTATCAACCTCGAAATGCCAGGAGAGATTGCACCTCTTGGATGAGGAGTTCACGCAGCAGTGGGTAAGCGGGGATCCAAATATGGCCAGTTCTGGCTTTTAGGTAATAATCCCCCCTCTGCGTCGTCGCCTGCTGGTGATTCTCGGTCGTGAAGAATGGGTCCGTTGTGTAGCCATGGGTGAATAGTCCCATAAGTAGTGGGTTCGGATGGGTGATCAGTACAACAGCAGATTGAACCATTGGGTGGGTAAGGCCATCGGTGGTGTTATTCGCCCCTTTCCTGTGTGATGCTGCAGGTGAAGTGCGACTCCATATGGTTGAGCCACCTGATTTGTCGCGGGTTGAGCTTGGGTTGCGCGCGGAGATACTTTAGTGACTTGCGGTCTGTGCGAACATTGACGTCGGCGCCCGTCAAGAAGCAACGCCAAAGCTCGAACGTGTGGATGATGGCGAGCATTTCCTTGTTATGTATCGGATAGTTGCGCTCGGCTGCCTGTAACTTGCATGACTCGTAGGCAATCGGTTGTAAGCCGTTGCCGAAATCTTGAAGGAGTATAGAGCCGATGGCAGAATCTGAGGCGTCGGTCACGACTTCGAACAGCTTGTATGGGCCGGCGATGCGCAGAACCGGAGGGGACACGAGAAAATTCTTCAACTCTTAAAAAGCCACCTCAGCGTCCCCCCCCCCTCACACATTTTTTGTCCTTGTGCAACAGGTCGGTCGGCGGGCCGGTAATCCATACCATATTCGTGATAACCTGCTGGACATAGTTCACGAACCCCAAAAAACTTGAAAGTTCCGTGACATTAGTCGGGGACTTCCACTCCTGGATGGTCTTGATCTTCGCCGGGTCGGTTTTAATGACGTCGCGGGAGATGACGTTGTGAAGAAATGAGGAATGAATGAACTAGCACAAGGTTGGGTACAAGTAGGAAACCCTAGGAAACTGTACCCCATAGTGTCTACCCCACTATAGCCTAGACAAGCTATATGATATGAGTTTGACACACCCCCATAGGCAAAGTGGGGGAGAACAAGAGGTCACAAGACCAGTCAAGCAAAGCAAAGTAAGCTCAGGGTGGATCACAACGTCACCACACAATCCGAGCACAAGAGCAAGGCCACAAGGCCAGTTCACATGCAAGATCATATATAAAGGTAAACAGGCAAGTGCAAGTATAGAAAGATCACAGTACAAGCAATGTCAAGAAGTGAGCAAGTGAGGCCAAGTAGGCACAAGACCTAGCATCGTACAGAAGCACTGATGATCACCAGGCGGAAGTGCCTTGGTAAAGATATCAGCAGTGTTGGCCTCAGAGGCCACGTAAGCAAGGCGCAGCTGACCACGCTGCTGCAGCTCACGAGCAAGGAAGTAGCGAAGAGCAATGTGCTTCGTTCTATGCTCCAGTCTGTGCTCCCGACACAAGGCCAGCATGGCCTTGTTGTCTACGTATAGAACTGGAGGAGAACGAGGCGGCTCTCATAGGTCGGTCAGCAGGTAGGTGAGCCAGCGTAGCTCCTGTGCAGCCATGGCTCCCGCGTAGATCTCAGCCTCACAGCTGGAGCCGAGAACAGAAGACGAGCGGGTAGACCGCAACGAAACAGAGCCGGAACCAAGACTGAAGGTGTAACCCTGTGACGACCGCTGCGTAGCCTGGTCGTCAGCCCAAGAAGCGTCTGCGTGACCTGTGAGGACCACTCGACGTCGCCCTCCAAGCACTAGCCCCATGCCCGACGTACTGCACAAGTAGCGCAACACCCTCTTCGCTGCAGCCATGTGCTCTGGTCGGTGTCTCCCAGGAGCAACATAGCGTGCCAAGATGCTAAGAGGGTATGCAAGGTCAGGTCGTGTGCAGGTCATCAGGTACATGAGGCAGCCAACAAGCTCTGGGTACGGGCCACTCGGCTCTACGGACTCATCCGAAGGCAGAGCTGAGAGCGAGTGGCGAGTAGACAGA